TGAGGTTTTCTTCACAACCATAAGAGCTAAAGAAGATGCTTTCTCAGACCAAAACAGAAAAAAAAAACAACCTTTGTCCAATTGTGAACTTACAGAAGCTGTACAGCTTCATTGGAAGTTTCAAGTTTCACATGCTGACATTAGCGTCTATCATATTTACTAGGGCTATCGATTAATCACAGTTAACTCACGCAATTAACTCAAAAAAATTAATCACGATTAAAAAATTAATTGCGATTAATCGCCATTTTAATCGCACTGTTAAACAATAGAATACCAATTGAAATTTATTAAATATTTTGGATGTTTTTCTACATTTTCCAATATATTAATTTCAATTACAACAGAATACAAAGTGTACAGTACTCACTTTATATTATTTTTATTACAAATATTTGCACTGTACAAATGAAACAAAATTAGTATTTTTCAATTCACCTCAGACAAGTATCGTAGCGTAATCTCTTTATTGTGAAAATGCAACTTATAAAATGTAGATTTTTTGTTACATAACTGCACTCAGAAACAAAACGTAAAACTTTAGAACCTACAAGTCCACTCAGACTTCGTATGGCACTGTTGTAGCTGGCATTGCAAGGTATGTATGTGCCAGATATGCTAAACATTCGTATGGCCCCTTCATGCTTCGGCCACCATTCCAGAGGACATGCTTCCACGCTGAGGACGCTCGTTAGAAAAATAATGTGTTAATTAAATTTGTGACTGAACTCCTTGGGGGAGAACTGTATGTCTCCTGCTCTGTGTTTTACCCACATTCTGCCATATATTTCATGTTATAGCTGTTTCGGATGATGACCCAGCATATTGTTCATTTTAAGAACACTTGCATTGAAGATTTGAAAAAAAAAACGCAAAAAAGATACCCATGTGAGATTTCTAAAGATAGCTACAGCACTTGACCCAAGATTTAAGAATCTGAAGTGCCTTCCAAAATCTGATCGGGATGAGGTGTGGAGCATGCTTTCAGAAGTCTTTAACAAGCAACACTCCGATGCGGAAACTATAGAACCTGAACCGCCAAAAAGAAAATCAACCTTCTGCTGGTGGCATCTGACTCAGCTGATGAAAGTGATCATGCATTGGTCTGCACTGCTTTGGATCGTTATCGAGCAGAACCCATCATCAGCGTGGATGCATGTCCTCTGGAATGGTGGTTGAAGCATGAAGGGACATATGAATCTTAAATACATCTGGTATGTAAATATCTTGCAATGCTGGCTACAACATTGCCATGCGAAAGCCTGTTCTCACTTTCAGGTGACATTGTAAATAAGAAACAGGCAGCATTATCTCCTGCAAATGTAAACAAACACGTTTGTCTCTGCGATTGGCTGAACAAGAAGTAGGACTGAGTGGACTTGTAGGCTCTAAAGTTTTAAATTGTTTTATTTTTGAATGCAGTTATTTTTTGTACATAATTCTATATTTGTAAGTTTAAATGTCATGATAAAGAGTTTGCACTACAGTACTTGTATTAAGTGAACTGAAAAATACAATTTTTTATTTTTACAGTGCAAATATTTATAATAAAAATATAAAGTGAACACTGTACACTTTGTATTCTGTGTTGTAACTGAAATCAATATATTTGAAAATGTGGAAAACTTCCAAAAATATTTATATAAATAGCATTCTATTATTGTTTAACAGCATGATTAATTGTGATTATTTTTTTTAAAATGAACTCTGTTTTTCTCCGACAATTGCTTGACAGCCCTAATATTTACCCTTTCCTCTCAAGACCAGTTTGGGGCTCTCCACTTAAAGGATGAGTATTTTCACACAGATGACAGAAAATCTCAGTGTGGGTGTGGGCAACAGTAACTCTCAGTATTAGCACTATGCCCTTTCTGCTGTGCCAACATTATTTATCAAGTACACAACAATGGTTGCTACGTTCTCAAACAAACAAAGATATTCTCATACTTAAAATGACTGGCTTTTTGAATGTAGTTTCAAGGCTCATTCTGTATAGGGCAAGTTTGCCACAGCAGTCAGCCTCTGCCCTGTACCCCCTTGGGAGATTCCCAAGACAGTTTTCAAAACATTCACTGAACAAAATATCAGATGCAGAGTCTAAACAAGAGTCAAGATTTAGTCTATTAATTTTTACAGAAAACTCTTTCTGGAGTACTGGTACCTGAGCAATCCCATCCCCTTCAAGCTGTGATAACTTCCACTGGGAGACGAAATCAGGAAAAAAGCTGGCCTAGGATCAGGGAAGTACAAAGGAGGCTTAAAGTTTTTTTTTCAACTCTCCTCATGAGTTGTACTGTGTGCTCTTTGGCTGTAGTTGCAGCTACACAAGGTCATCAAATATAATAGCACTTGGAAAAATTTCTCTCTCGTCTCTGGAGAAGAGACTGAAATTGAAGATGCCTCTAAAGCTGATGGTATGGTAGGAGTGCATTCAGATTCATACGATGCTTTTTCTGGAATTGTTTGTATTTTTTAGTTTTGTGATCCTGGTCAGATTTTCATTTTGATTTCCCCCTCCCCCCCAATTTCATTTAAAGGGATGCGATTAATAGTTTAATGTGGTAGAAAACAGACTGATTAGCAAATTAACTATATATCCTGTTAATTATTTATTAACAATGTTAATATCAATTTAATTGTATTTGAGTTCTATTTGAAAACCATTTGTGTACAAAACCAGCACAGGAAACAAGAGGAAAAGCATATGCAAGTAGTTTGTTAATGGTGCCTGTAAGACACCACTGTATAATTAGATCCTTTGCAGTAATTAATGTTTCCATTCCGTTCTTGTTTACTGCTTTGAAACACTTGCAATTAGTTTTTAAAAGAAAAATTGGAAAGGATTTACTGAAACAACATCTTTACTGTAAGTGAGTTGGATGTGACTTTTGGTGCCTATCTTTCTGAAAGAACACGTCTGGGATTTAAGAAAGATTTTTTTCACACTCTGCAACCCCCCACTGGGAAAGGGAACAGCACCATATAAAAAAATATTTGTTTTTCCCCTTGTCTTCAGGACATTTACAGAATATGGTGATATAAACTCTCAGTCCAACCTATTATTTTTTTGTAGACATGCCCCACAGGAAACACGTTTTCATAAAGATGTAACTTTTGGTGAGGATGGGATAGGGCTATAGAGTAAGAGTGACAATTTACAATATTGAGATGTGGAGTGGATTATCTGATCCCCATTTTCCATCTCTGGCCTCTATGATTCTAAAACTCAAAATAAGAAGTTATTTGAGGGACAAGTGATTTAGCCAACCTTGTTGATTCAACCTTCCCAACACAATGTGTAGTACACATTGACTGCCTGCCTCAAATTCTGTATTTTTCAAAAAGACTATGGGTTTTAAAAAAATAATTTAATAGCATACAGACCTGGTTTCCCCCAGCATTATGACATTCATAAACTCCAACAACACCATCTGCAAAATGGCCCAAAGTGTCGAGGCAATTGGTACCCTGCTGCAAAGCCCCAAAAGCTATATCTTGATGATCAGGTACCCTAAATATAAAACAAGAAACATCTGTTTTAATTCAATTTCTCTCGTTTTAACTTTGACGCCCTTCCTTTACTTAACGACCTTCTAGATGAGAGGCAATCGGCAACAGGTAATGATTTTATTTTGGTACACAAGCTATATTCCACTCCCCACAACATTTTGAAGAAGTTACAAGTAATTATTTGGTCAAGAGACTCTGCTCTCATAACTAAGTGGTCAAAGGTTTTCAGTGTATTTGTAGGCTAAGAGATTGAATATGAGTAAAATATACTGGAGAACTACAATGAACATGAGCATTAGAGAGTCACATCACAAGTGTGGCTGGCAGCAATGTGTGTAGTTAAGGTTGTATAACACTTCCCATTGTGTAACTCTTTCCATTATAAATCCCTCTTTTGTGTAGCTCATGGCTTTGTCAAACTTTAACCAGTGAGGCAGAAATTTGGCATGCTGCAGTTCTGCCCCAGGCTGATTTTTTTCTTTAAGTTTCAGTAAAAAAAAAACCAGTTCTACCATTTCTGAAAATGAAGTTTGACAAAGCAGCATATTTTCGACAATGTTCACAAATCCAACTGTTCCTTTGAGAAACTAATGCCTCCTTGCTTTGGAGCAGGGACTTGAGATTTGTCAGAGTCTCTGTGGCATTAAGGAGCTGCCTTTTGTAGTCCCCATGAAAAATGCACTGAGATCTGGTGACTTTATAGACCACAGAATATCATGGTTTATTAATTATTTGTACTACCATAGTGCCTGGGAGCCCCAATCCTGGGCCAAGACCCTATTGTGCTAGACATGGGCGGCGGGTATAATAGACCAGGCGCTTTATTATGCCCCATGCAGGTTCCGGGACAGCACCTGTTACTCAGCTTCCTGGGTTCATCAGTCATCTCTTTGGACTCCAGGAAGATGACTGATGGATCCAGGAAGCGGAGTAGCAAATACCGCCTCCTCAATGGCCCCAGAATCTGCATGGGGCATATCAAATGCATCTTTGGACGAGAGTGAGGCTTTTCTCTGCAGTGGCTTGGGTTCTGGAGAAGGGTGGCATGGTTGCAGCTGGCACGGGGCAGCCCCGCGCACATTGGGGGGGGGGAAGGGGGAGAGAGAACACGACATTGGGGCACCTCTTGGCAGGGCTCTCGGAACTCTCCGGCTGAAGGGGGACTTGTGGCCCTGGGGGTCTTGGGGCTCTGGCTGTGGGGGTGGGCAGGGAGAGGGTGGGCAGAAGGGGCAGAGCCAGGGGCTAAGGGGGGCTCCACCTGCCACCTATGGTGTGAGTGTAACCCACACACCTCCTGGGTGTGGTGTTCTGTTCCCTCTGGTGGCTCCGAGACCACTTAGAGAGCTAAGGCTATAGAGCCGACTCATTAATCTAACAACCATATGGCTCTGAGCTCAAGCAGTAGAGGCTCATGCACTAAGCTCCAGAGGCCCTGGGTTCGATCCTACCCACCGATGACTGTAGTCTGTTGGTGTTACACTAGGTGCTGTACAAATAGAGACCAAAGACAGTCCCTGCCCCAAGAATATTACACATTCAGTACAGGCTTTTTAGGGACTGGCAGCAAAGATTTCCAAAGATTCCATCTGCATTGAGCATGCTTAAATAAACACATACATACATAAATAAATAAAAGCTGAGCAGGACTTATACTGCAGTTGTTCCCCAGGGCTGTTGAGCATCAGACACCAGAACCAGGAGCACAGAATATTTCTCCCGTGTTCCCTATGTTCACACTGCTGGCACTCAGTCAGCACGGAAGGGGAGAAGAAGACAGCCTGACTCAAATGTAGAGGAATAAACATGGAAATGGACAGGGACATGGGGGAATAGGGACAGATGGCAGGATAACAGAGTGGGGAGGCAGCCTTGGGTTATCCTGCCTTTTCTACTTCTTCTGCCTCCCACATCCTGCTCCTACTGCCTCTGCTTTCTACCAGTTTCTCCAGGCACTCAGGTCAACCTTGTGTCCCCCAGTCCTCTTCTTTAGATGAGGGATAGGTTCCTGCCTCCCTTCACACCCATCCCACTGAGCACTAAATAAGGCAGATATTCTGTGGAAAATATAGTGTGTGATCACTTAAATACTATCATAATGTACACAATATAAGAGGGTTCAATTAAAGTTGCACACGCAAACTTAACTGTGGAATTCTTTAATTTTTGTGCACTTGATTTTGCAATGTTAACATTTTTAAATGTAGATTTGTGAATATATATATATGTATTAATGTTACAGAATGTGCCAAAACTGGAACCCTGAATCCAAATCCTTGTCAGAGCTAGAGGATGAACTGCACCTTGGTCTCCTTAGTCCATCTTTAGTGCACCTTGACAGGCCAGCTTCCTGCACCTCACTCTGGGTGGAACCAAGCAGTCCAACCACCTTGGGACTGGGTCTCTAACTTGCAATCCCCAGTGGTTCCCAACCATGTTAACACCAGAAGCCCAAACTCATTTTTGGCACCTGTAAGAGTTTCCCTTCAGGAGCCCATGACAACATAAGTTTGCAGTGACACAGAAATTGCATCTTCAAAACAAAGCATTATTTATTCATTCTTCAAAAGAACAAAGCACACAGATCAAAAGATAAAACAGACGACCTACACACGTGGGTATTGCTTATAAAAGCTGGCAAGGAAAGTTTAAGATGCAAGACCCCTCTGCCCTGTTGAGTCTCTCTCTGGCAGGGAGAAGCAGACTACATTCCTTTGTGTGTTTGCTAGACTGTCCACTTTCCATTGACACACCCTGCACAGTCTCTCCTAGATCACCCAAACTCCCTCCCTTTTCTAAAGTCTTGGAGGTTTAGGATCCCCCAAGATCCCAGGCTCTGGCCCTGGGAAGAGTAAACCTTTCTAGTTTGGATGGAGCCAGACAATTTCTTCTCTGTTGATGGTCCAGCAAGTGTTAACTCCTTTGAAGCTGTTTTACCCCAGAGGTCTTATTTTTGTCACTGTTTCATTCTTATGCATTCAGGCAGGATAATCTTACCCAGATAGACACATCTGATTTATTTATTTATTTATTTATTGAGAGAGAGAGAGAGATATTTCCCAGTTCTCACCACTTGTAGTCAGACTATTTAGTTATTTATTTTAAGGCCAGAAGACCACCCACAGAACACAGGACATAAAATCTCATCTAGTAATTCCTGCACAGAACCCACCCCTATGGTTTTGATTCCAGGTTGGATTCAAAATTGCAATGGTTGTAAATTTTTATTCTAGTTTGGATGCAACTGAAATCTTGACATTTTGGCCCCAAAGCCTTGAAAAGACAGGTCGAGAGTTTATGGCACAACTGAACAAGTAGCTTAGAGTAAAATCTAACCTGGATCTGAACAATCCCTTGAGCTCTCCAACTTTTATGGAAGGTTCATTTTTAAAAAAGAGCCATTTATTAGAAAAGAATGAGGGTCTGGACACTGACTTTACAAATGAGGTTTAAGCCGTAATTAACTGCTAATATCCAAAATAAATTAAGCCAATATTTTAAAAGTTTGACATGGTAAAGAATTACAGGTTAATAATGCTTTATTTACTGAAGCCTGGGGAATAGTATTTGTTGTAAGTTACCTATAAGCCTTCATTGAGGATCCTTCCACTAAAATTTAGCATTGCCATCTTGTGGTAAATTCAAGATGGTGACAGAACAAAGCTACAAAATGCCAAATGTATTAGCTGCTTGAGGACTTGCAGGAAGGTATGGGTAATCTTAAAATTTCTAGTTAAGTTTCAAATGAAATTCATGCAAATCCTAAAACAAGAGACCCTAAAGCACATCCGTCGGTAGGTACAGGTGTGGGGAGTTGCAGGGAGAGGAACATCTGTTCAAATGAGACATCAGAGATCATTTTTGCCCAACTCTAAGGGAAAGTAAATATCCCATGGCACTTTTTGAAAAGAAAAAAGGATAACTGGTCTCCTTACCATTATTATCCCTCTTTATAAGACAGGTTCTAATGTTTATGGGTCTGTGAAAGTTTTTACTGAGGGTATATTAGCTGCTGCTTTTGCCTAAAGAAAATAAATAAATCACTGTACTACCAGTATTTATCTCATTGTATTCTAACTTAAAGTGTTTTGGAACTCCTACAGCAAGAAATGTGCTACTGTATAAAAGCCACATACCAGTCTACAGTTGTTTAATAAGATTAGCTGTATGACAGATACTGGCACAGACCCTTAGATTTGACAGGTAGGGTTAGTAGTAGGATATTGAGCATGGTGGTTTTATTCATTTAAAATCTTTGTCTGGTAAATAAATACAGCTCTGAAGATTTTCTATCCTACAGAAGAGATGGAAATCAACCGGATAGGTTGTATTCTCATGCCTGGGCTCTGACCAATGACTCTAAAGTACCTTAAAATGTTTTCATCTGAAGACCTCAGTTAACCTATAACATAACTCTACATGGGAGGATCACTTACTAAACTGGCAGTAAAAGTTTTGCACTGCACCTAGATTAAAGCTGCTCACAGAGCTAAGCATGCCACATAGGTGAAGCTAACAGCTTGAAGGAGAGCGGAGAAGGATGAAGAATGATGCATTTCCAGCAAGCAGCTAGCCCAGGAGTACAGCAGTTTTGGAGGAGAAAGTCAGCCCTCTTGGCAGTGACAATCACATGATGAAATTGCAATATGGATATGGGGCAAAGAGGAAAAGGGATGGGTCAGTGAAGAAAATGACAGCAGAATAAAGTAGTAAGCAAAAACTGCAAGAGACATTTTAACTAGCTAATATCCTAAATGCCTGTGCAGGAGACATGTAGTAAAGTTTCTGGCCAAGCCAGGTAAAGAAAGAACCTACACTGCCAGAAAACAGAAAGGCTGTTTGAGACTCACCTTAACTCAGGGTAGACGTTTTCAAGATACCACTTGAAAGGTTTGCAGCTAAGTCTCTTTCTCAGTTCCATTCGGCTTTGAATACTAGAGAGAAACAAAAACAGCAAGTTCTGGCAGTTGTATTTGATGAATTTTAAAGCACGTTTAATAAGTGAGACATTTATCAGTAGAAATATATTTAAAAGAAATGAAACACCCCTTTGCCCTCATGAACTACTAATGCCAAACAGAATAAGTGAATAGGAAGAAGCAGCAGATCGGACTTACTTGCCATAAGGTACGTTTCTGGCTGAAGGCACTGCTGCGTAATAGAAATTTTTGTACTCATCCATCCACACTTCTGCTGCCCTACGCGTATTTCTAGGAACAATCAAATTGAGATGCAGGTTATGTTTTTTCCTGTCACAATCCATGACACATATTTTTGTCTGTTTTGATGATGTTTATTTTTTCGCCACCCTCTACTACACATACCACAGAGGTGGTAGGACTGAAGCACACACATTTGGAATGGACTTTGTGCCTTCCTTATACTTAGCCCTGATCCACACTTAAAATTTAGGTCAACATAGCTATAATGCTCATGAGTGTGAAAAATCCACACCAAGTGCCTCAGCTATGCCATTATAGTCCCCACAGTGTAGAGATGGCCTAAGGGATTGTCAACACATGAAAATTAACCCATAATAAGATAGGGCGTGAATTTAAAGTGGTTTACCTATTCCTGATTAATTCCATGTGTGGACATACTTATTTTGCAATAAAAGAGTTCATACCTGGAGTTAATCAGGAATAGCAGACAAGTCCTAATCGCTGGTCCAAGCGTCCAATCAGAAAAGGTAAAAAGTTTAGTTCAAGACTTTCATTTTCTACAATGCTCTTTTTGAAAGTAACTTCGTTAATTTATTAGGCCACGTCTTGCAAAGAAACAAAATTTACTGAGTGGTTTTTGAATCAGAAACTTGGAAGAATCTAAAATCTCAACAGCTGGCAATATTTGACAGTTTGCCTTTTATCTTACAAGCAGTTTTCACTAAAGCCAGAGAAAACTGACACACCATCTTATGGAATGTATATTTCTCAACCTCCTTTTTGTCCCCCACTGCACACCAACTTGAATGCTACCTAGATGGATAAATAATTGTAAGTGGTGAAACATTTAGACTTATGAACCTAGAGGTTTTGTTACAGCTGAGATGACCAAGAATAAGCTGAAGGTTAGATGTTTGTAACACTACTTAAAATTCTGTATTAAAGATATGAAAATGTTGCCCAAACTCTTCAGGGACTGCTGTGTATTTTTATATATTTATCTTTATATAAACAGTGTCTTTAAACCTGAGCTGCAATGTGACTAAAGCTTTGTCATTCTCCAGGATATTCCTCTTGCCATTCTGTCAAAAAGTTCTCTCTTCTGCTGGAGTACAGTCACAAAAAGCAACTAAACTTATCAATTCAACATTAAACAGATAATCTTGCACAGAAACATATTACCTCTTAGAAGTTGTCTGCAAAAATCCCGGTGTGTTACATATGCATACACAGAAGCAGCATCCATGTAGCAAATATTACAGAATCAAATGATAAATATCACACACTTCTGACTGCCTCAGTTGCCTTCTGTCCACTAATCCATCACCTCCAGGATTTACAAACATTTGTAACATTCCAAAATGCTAGGCAGCTTCCAAAAGCTTTTTCTTTGGTAGGCTGACCTACAAAGAAAATATTCCCCCCCTTCTCTTTCAAATATGGTATTTCTAGATGCCAAAAATGACCTCCGATGAGGATTGGGATGGGCAATCCAGTCCCAGTAACAGATTTTCTGTGCATAAAAATACCACAATTTGATAGTATGTTGTCATCAGATTCTGTAAGGCTAGAAATAGGAGCTTCATGCTATTGAGGGGGGAGATTCTCATCTTCCCAGTGGAACCCAGCGTTTGTCTCTAGACTTGGGAGATTGTGAGACACCTACAATTTTAAGTAGTTATGTACCGAAAAGCAATTTTAGGTCATTTTTAGACATTTGTATGATCTCCTGAGGTATGTGCAATTGGACAGGAAGGATGGGGACAATATTCCCAGTACAAACTTTTTAAACTTTCTAAAATGTAGTTTTTCAGCTCTTCCTTCTGTCAAAACTTTCTCTTCACACACACACACACACCCCTCTGCTCCCAGAGACAGCCTTATTATCTTTTACAAAATTAGAAGTGATCGTTTGGGGAATTAAAGTTTTATTTCATTAGCACCTTCCATGCTCTGAAGCCTATTTTGCACATTTGTCAATAAAAAAATCTCTAGTGATTTGTGGGACATTACCCATCTTCATCAGCTAAGGGAGGATAGGTCCATGAATGGCTAGTATCCAAGATGTTCACGGATGCAACACCATATTCTGGCTGTCCCTAGCCTCTGTTTGCCAGAAGTTAGGAGTGGATGACAGGGGATGGATCACTCAACGACTGACTGTTCTGTTCATTCCCTCTGCAGCACCTGGCATTGGCCACTGTTGGAAGACAGGATACTGGGCTAGATGGACCTTTGGTCTGACCCAGTATGGCTGTTCTTATGTTATCTGTGGATAACACATATTGGTTTGGGAGTTAAAGACATCTTTAATTTGTATCCTCCTGCTTCTGCAGGGGAAATGAAATGACCATGAGCTGAAAAAGGCTGGTCAAAAACTCCTGAGTGCAAAAACCACAAGCGAAGAGGAAGTTCAAACAAACAGTCTCTGCGTTTTGTTTGATGATAATTTCCTTGTGGAAACTGCTAATTTTCTAAAACTCCCTTTCAGCCAAAGCCGAGGAGTTGTTTTTCACTCCCCTTCTGCTTCTGGCTTTTGTCAGGGATACTTCTTATTTGGTCAAAGCAATTCAAGTGTAAACAAAATTGCATTAATTAACCGTATCATCCTCCCACCCCTCCACCCCCCAAATAAAAAGCAATTAGAATGACTTGTAAGGGTTTTCACAGCCTTTCAGTCCATGAGGCAGATGGGCAACCAAAAGGGGAGGAGGAAAATCAGCTATGTGGAAAGGCAGAGCAGGAGAGACATTGGTTACACACTTCCACTGTCTTTACAGTTCAAGTTGGTATTGGTTTCTTAAAATCATTTTGAAGAACAAATATAGGGACATGTTTTAAAAAGATTCTCCCTTCCAGTATTTTCCCCTTTCACCCATTACACCTAATGAGCATAAGGATATCTGTTTGAATGAGGAGGTCCTACCTGTGCACCCTTGTGATTTGGTTGCATAATTGTGACATCACAGGCCAGATCCTTTCCAACCCAAATGCAGTTTTGGATAGTGCTTCAGACAAACAGTAATTTGATTTACCATACACAGTTATATTCAGAAGCACCGCCAGCTTTCCTGCCGCCCTAGGCGGCGGAAGGTCCCGCCCCGAAATGCCGCCCCCCGCAGAGGCGGTGGAAGGTCCCACTGCCGAAATACCGTCGCGGTCGCCGTCCCCCAAATTGTAGTGCCCTAGGTGACCACGTAGGTCGCCTAATGGGTTGCGCCGGCCCTGGTTATATTATATATAGACACATCCTTTCCTATTGCTCAAATCGGAGCTATATTTATATATATTAAAGTACAAGAGCTTAGTGAACCAAAAAAAAAATCCATTATTCACCAAACAAAAAAAAAAGGATGACTTTCTAATTTTTTCAGCAAATTGAAAAGTAAAAAAAAACTTGAGTCAAAACAAAATGTTTCAGTAATGACAAAACATTTCATTGTGACCCAGATACTTTCATTTCAGCGTTCAGGCATTTTGAAAAAAGCAAAGGAAAGGAGGACTAGATTAACAAAATTGCTGTGAAGATGGTGATGGTGTCTCCCTTAAAAGCACTTTCTTTCCCTGTATGAATTGTCTCTATGAATGACAAGGGATAGTCATTGGGCCAGGGAGCGTGAGAATGACTCTGGAGCCTGGACATTAGAGCACTCTCCGACAATGTGGGAGACCCAATTTCAAATTCTGTGTCTCCCACATCCCAGGTGAATGCCCTAACCACTGGGCTAAAGCTTTTAAGGGATGAACCACCACCTCTTGTCATTTTCTGAATCTAGTGCCTTTCCTTTGTCAAAATGCCTGAAATTTAAAATAGAATTTTTGGTCAGAACTGAAAAAGTTGAATTTTAACATTATCAAAACGTTTTGATTTTTCCAGTTTGGTTGAAACAATTCTATGTATTTGACACGAATTTGCAAATAGTTTTGGTTAACCCAAATGTGCTTTCTTGGCAAGTAAGATATTTGTCTGAAAAATTTCACCCATCTCTATTAAGTACCTATTAAGTCTTATGGGAGGAAAAGCATCTTGGCATTAGCCCAAAACTGAAAATTGCAGAGCAGTGTGCAAATCACATAGTCTTTCATTAATATGACCCTGGAAAGCTACTGTGAAATTGATATGCAGTTATGTCAAACCCAACTCATATAAAGAACAGGAGTACTTGTGGCACCTTAGAGACTAACAAATTTATTTAGTCTCTAAGGTGCCACAAGTACTCCTGTTCTTTTTGCGGATACAGACTAACACAGCTGCTACTCTGAAACCAACCCATATAGTGGAATCAGTAGATCTTCCTATTCCCTGGTGTAATATTAATATTGGAGCAGGGCTGTAATCAAGACAGGGTATTTCATTATCAATCTTTTGTTTCCTCACATGTGCCATTGCTAATTTTCCACAGCAGCATAAAATTCAGATCTCAACAGAAAGGGGAAGCAGATATTCAAAGAAAAATCCCTGCTAAAACTATTCAGAGAAACAAGACCAGTAATTTTATTTCACCAAATCAGCCAATTCATTAGTGCTGCACAAAAAGTAGAATCAATCTGCACTTCCAAAAGAGAGAGTATTTTATCTAATGTGAAACACTGCCTAAGGGACTGGGTCAGAAGCTTCCAGGTGTGAAGAACGTACATCTGGGCTCTCTAGATCAGTGGTTTTCAGAGTTCAGGTCGCGACCCAGTAGTAGGTTGTGGAATGCAAGGCACTGGGTGGACTTGCTCAACACCCAGGGACCCTGGTGGCCAGCCAGCAAAAACTAATAGTCCCTACCTGTTCTGACACCGCGCTGCACCCTGGAAATGGCCAGCAGCAGGTCTGGCTCATGGGCAGGGAGGCCCATGGGGCTCTGAGCACTGCCCCCACCCCGAGCACTGGGTCTGTACTCCCATTGGCCGGTTCCCAGCCAATGGGAGCTGGGGGAAGGGGGAGGGAGTGCCTGCAGGCTGAGAGCCACTCTGAGCCGCTTGCGCAGACCTGCTGGCTGCCTCTGGGGCGCAATGTGGTCCGCAGTGCCAGGACGCCTGCCTCTGCACCCTGGCTGTGCTGCTGACCAGGAGCCTCCGGAGCTAAGCCCGTGCCCCAATCCTCTTCCCCAGCCCTGAGCCCCCCCAAACCCAGACCCCCTTCCTGCATCCCAAAGCTCTCATCCCCTGCCCCAGCCCAGAGCCTGCACCCCCAGCCCAAAGCCCTGACCCCCCCCCCTCATCCCCAGCTCCGTTGGGACGCAGGCATCAACAATTTTCTTCAACTGGATCACCAGAAAAAAAGTTTGAAAACCACTGCTCTAGATGACTTGTTGAATATGATTTGCTTGGACTCCAGAATTCCTACAGTACAAAATACATTTTATTCTGTTTGCATTTAGCATATTGTAAATCCTATAAATTATTGATGCTTCATCAACTTGGAGGAATTCCCAAACACAAATGCTCAACATACTTTGTGCCTAGAATAAGGGTTTGTCTATGCTATGGATACTACAGTGGCTCAGCTATGCTGCTGTTGCGACATAATATAGATTCTTCTTACAGTGACAAAGGGTTTTTCCATCCACCTCGCCAAGTGGCAGTAGCATTCTTCCATCAACCTAGTAGCATCCTACTCTGGGTTAGGCTGGCATAGCTATGGTGCTCAATTTCACACCCCTTAGTGACATGCCTAGGTTGATCTAAATTTTAAGTGTAGACCAAGCCTCATGCTGTATCTCTGGTTCTTTAGGGAAACAACACATCAGTGAAAATTTCATATAACATGTGAATGTAATACTACTACACTGTACTTATACAGTACCTTGAGGCATAGGTCTCAAAGCTCTTTACAAACATTGATAAAAATCACTTTCCTCATTCTACAGAAGGAAAACTGAGAAAAAGTTAGGGATTCAAGTTCACACAGTGAATCAATAGCAGAGATGGGATTTCTTAACTACTGAACCATGATGCCTCCTCAAAAAGGGTTTTTTGTTTTTTTGTTTTTTAAAGTTACAGTATAAGGAAGGAAAACTTCATATAACAAACAGAAAGAGAGAGGAGTGGATATTTTTGACAGGCCAGATTCTAATAGGTACTACTCATTGCAAGTATCAGAATCTGGGCCTATGTGATTATTAACATGACACCACAGAACTGTTTACTATTGAACCAGGAACCCAAAACCAAAATGCAACACACAAATATACAAAACGAGCACACAGTTAGTGGTGTCTGAGTGTCCAAAGTGGAAAAATGAACAATTTAATTTTCTTCATCTTTTAAAGACTGAATACTGAAGATAAAGCCTTTATTTCCCACAAGATCTTTTAAGAAGATATATACACAAAGTTTTCAAAGCTGATGGTAAATTTCCCGTTGTTAAAAGATTTTCCATTTCTTCCCTTTCCCCATTTGGCCCAGAATTCTTCCGGCTGATACTAGGCAATTCCTCACCTCTTCATTAAAACGTTTCACCACTGTCACTTAGTCTTCCAATTTTTATTTTTGCCCTAATTCGAGCATCTGAGTTATCACTAGAGATGAAAAGTAATCTCCTTTTAATTAAAAAAATTATTCATAAGATTTTCACTTCAGATCATATTGTACATATTTTTAGTAAACGGCCCTGGAAGTTTAATGATGTTACTGCCACCTGCTGGCTAACTAGAAAAAAAAACAAAAATCCACAGTTCCACGATTTAGCCAAGAACTTGCAAATACTTACCTTGCAAACACAGTACCACTCCCACCAGGGAAGGTGTAAGGATGTTGCTTGCGGAATACATGACCCACTCTGCTGCATGGGATAATTTCAAGGCTCCCTCCACACTGCCACACTCTGAATGAAATCTCTGCAATTAAGAATGCATGGTAAGTATCCACAAACCTAAAGTAATTTGTAAATTCTGACCCTTAACACATTTTTCCAATATATGCACTATGTCACATAGGATTAAAGGAAGATATTTAGCTTGCAGAGAACATGAAAAAAGCTAACAAATTGGGCTCAGCGTGTCTGACCGTTTCACTTCAGTGTTCTCCAGAGTTTAGAGAAGCAGCTATGGATTTATATCCCTTTGCCTGCCAGTATTTATAAAGTTCCACTGGTGAGTTTTACGAGAGAGTTTACACAGCTTTTGGCCCAGAGATTAAAATCTATAGTGGACTGATACAAAACAAAAAAATTAAATTCAAGTGTGAGCTATGTAGAGTTGAACTCATTGATGAAAGTTTGAAGCTAGTTTGCATAATTTCAGCAGAGGGCTGAGTGAAGGGTAAGCACACAACAGATGTCAATATTAAAATTCATAAGGGCTTTAGGAGGATTTCTTCTGAATGTCAGACCATTGAATCAGAACTGGTACAGTTTGCACAAAAAAGCTAGCTTTTTAAAAAAAGAACAAATAATCATGAATTCAGTCCAACAAGATAACGTTTGTATTCAATATTGAAGTTGATTTTATTTTTACAATAAATTGTGAAATACCTTTCATAAATGACCCTTTATTTTATATATTATGCATAGACTCCTTTATTATACATCACTGTTTGCTGTGTTTCAATTAACCAAATCCCCCCCCCCACCTCCCGATCAACCACCCCCACCCAAAATACAGGTTTGGTGGCACCTTACATCCTGAGGCAGCTGGGTAGCAGAAGGGGAGAGGATGAAAAGTAGCAGTGAAGAAAGGCAGAGAGGGAGAAGTAAATAGGGAAGGTGCAAACTCATTGCAGTTTTAACTAACTCCGCAGCTAAAATCTGAATAGATTTAAGTCATTTAAAATCCAAGATATTGGGGGAGATTTAAAAAAACTTCTTATTTGCCCCCCTCCCTCACCCGTTACGTATCGCAGGCATCGGGATATATTTTTTATTAGAATATGGTCCCAACTATTCACCTTTGAATTGATGCACATCTGTGATTTTATCAAAAAGGCACAGTCAGAAAAAAAGTTTCTGTAACTTGTGTTCTTCGAGATGAATTGCTCATGTCTATTCCACAATAGGTGTGCGTGCTCGTCATGTGCACCAGTGTTGGAAGTTTTTCCCTTAGCAGTACCTGTAGGGGAGCGCCCTACTGACGCCTGGAGTGGCATCTCCATGGCATGGTATAAGGGGCGCTGCGTGCTCCCCCCACCCTCAGTTCCTTCTTGCCAGACAACTCCGACAGAGAGGAAGGAGGGTGGGATGTGGAATAGACATGAGCAACACATCGAGGAACACCAGTTATGGAAAAGGTAACTGTCTTTTCTTCTTCGAGTGATTGCTCATGTGTATTCCACAATAGGTGATTCCAAGCTCTATCTGTTGGAGGTGGGTGGAGTTCACAAATTCTTGGGACGGAGCACAGCCCTGGCATCCTCCCTGATTTGGGAGACGATTGCATAACGTGAGGTGAAAGTGTGAACTGAAGACCACGTGGCAGCCCTACACATCCTGGATGGGGACATGGGCCAAAAAGTCAGCCGACGAGGCCTGCGCCCTAGTTGAGTGTGCCCTCACAATTGACGGCGGGGGGGATTCCCGCCAGGCCATAACAGGTATGGATGCACAACGTGATCCAATTGGAGAGCTGCTGAGTGGAGATTGGCCGACCCCTCATGCATTCGGCCGAGGCGATGAACAGCTGCGAGGACTTTCTGAACGGTTTTGTCCACTCCAAGTAGAAAGCCAGAGCCCCTCACACATCCAGCATGTGGAGGCGGCGCTCCTCACTGGACTCACGGGACTTGGGGCAGAGGACCGGCAGGAAAATGTCCTGGCCTATGTGGTAGGCAGAGACCACCTTTGGGAGGAATGAAGGATGTGGGCGGAGCTGGTCCTTATCCTTATGGAATACCATGTACGGGGGCTCGGAGGTCAGGTCCCTGAGTTCTGAGACCCGCCTCACCAACATGATCGCCACCAGGAAGGCTACCTTCCACGAGAGGTGCGACCAGGAGAGGCAAGGCCACCCTGCCCAGTACTGAGGGGGACAGTACGTTAAACAGGGAGTCCAAGGGCTCCTCCACCTCCTCTGCCTGGAGGTTGAGGCTTGATGCTACCCTTTTTAATAGGTCTTGGTGGGCCTTGAGTCCTCCTGCGGGATGGAGAGAGGAGGGGCCATAATCGCCTCATCAGGGGAGGGCGAGGAGGCCGGTGCCATACTTCGCGTGTTTACCGTCACCAGAGGGTCTACCACCTGGTCGGTCTCCGTGCACGGTGCTGAGGATGTATGTCTCACCGCATCCTTCCTCAGAGGCCGGGAGAGAGAGGCCGACAGTCCTTCTGAGGCTCCAGCCACCGAGCGAACCCCCACCGGGGGCTGCGTCGGGGGCCACGGTGCCCACTGGTACCATTGCACTGGTCATGGGGTCCGGTGCCACTGCATCTGCTGCGGCTTCGGGGGAGCGGGATGTTCAGCGTGGGTGGCCTGACCCATCAATGGACAGCTATGAAGGGAGGCCGGGATGATGTACGACCTGCCACTGTCCCTGGACCAGGAGGAGTGGTGGCCAAGACCGTGACGTGGAGGACCGGTACCATCAGTAACAGCTGCTCGGCAATTGGCTCTGACGGGTGGATCCGTGACAGCGACTCGCCAGCGATTGACGCCCGGGGCTGTGGGAGTGGTGCCGTGGCGGGGTCCTGGAGCGGGACGATGAACAGCAAAAGCATTGACGTTCGTGACGCGACCAGCTACAATAGTCCCTCCGAGATGAGGACCTTTGGTGTCATCTGCCTTGGTCCCATTGGTGTTCGTTCCTCGAGGCGGAGCGGTGCCTGGAGTCTCTGTCAGACGGAACCCAGCCAGACAACCTGGGGGAGCTACACACGGAACTTTCCCTTGACCGAGTCAGGGGCGACTGCGGAGATCCCAGCAGCGGCTTGCCTCTGGAGCGTGGTGGTGCTCCTGGTACCAGCATGGACATGACATCCTGGGCTGCCTGCAGGGCCTCCAGAGTGGAGGGCATCCGGACATCCGGGGAAGTCTGCTCCAACTGGGCCGGGCTACTCTGCTCGACTGGAGTCGGAGGACTAGAGACTGATAGGGATCGAGGACTGCCCAACATGGGTCTAGTCTCTACCCCAGATTTACTCCAGTGCCGCGGCAGAGAAGGCCTCTTCTTAGCCTTTTTGGCGTGCCCTGTGGACAGGGAGCGGTGCCGACTAGTAAATGGTGCCGGGGGGTTGCCGCACTCTGACAGCGCAGTGCCCGGTACCGACTTGGAGTGGCGCGCTGGAGTCTGGGTCAATGCTGACTCCATGAGGATAACCCAGAGCCTAATGTCTCTCTCTCCCTTGGTCCGAGGCTTAAAAGATTTGAAAATCTTACAGCAATCGCTGAGATGAGTTTCACCCAAACAACGTAGACAGTCTGTGTGTGGATCACTCACTGGCATCAGGCGCTTACAAGTGTTGCGCGACTTAAAACCTGGGGCGTGGGGCATGCCCCAGCCTGGGCGTGCCAGCTAAACTAAACTAAAACGAATCGAGCACTAACTACAGGTCACATACACTGAACAAACAAGAGTTCTGGGGACAAGCTACAGCAAAACTGGAGCAGAGCAGTTCCGAAGCACTGAGGGTGGGGGGAGCGCGCAGCACCCCTTATACCACGCCAAGGAGGTGCCACTCCAGGGGTCACTGGGGCGCTCCCCTACGGGTACTGCTAGGGGAGAAACTTCCGACACTGGCGCACGTGGCAAGCATGCACGCCTATTGGGGAATACACGTGAGCAAATCACTCGAAGAACTACATATTCCCCAATGGTGTAATGATATTTGTATAGATCCGTTCAACAACAGACTCATACTTGTTGCTGTAGCATTACACTAATATAAAAACTATGAAGGAAGTCTTGCTTGCTTACGAACTGGTTTTAACAAAATCAAACCACTACAAAGAAGAACCTCTAAACTTGAGTTTAGATCCAAATGTGTTAGCAGTATATCTTATTCCCCACCATATTCAAATTCTTCAGTTTCTCTGCAATGCTCTTTTGTTATTCTTAGGAATAGGGTTCCCAAAGCTAAGGTCACTGATCTACAGCCAGTTTCCGTATGTCACACAACAAAAATACTGTATTGAACAATGACAAAAAAATACATCACCTCTTAATAGTTTAAAATAATGGTTAAATAGACATCAAAACACTACAAGGCCATTTTATAATTGATAGAGTCAAGTGTACATGTGTGTAAATAAAACCTCCTTTAGTTCTCTCAACTGGATATCCAGGAGAAATATTTCAATAGAAATAATGCTAAGTTTTAAACAGTAAGTTTCAGCAGAACATTTAGAACTAATGTTTTAAATATCCAGTAAGTTGTTTTACTTACTTGCAGCACTTCCCAATCAATCTAGACATATTATTACTGCAGCAAGTTAGATGACTGAACATTTAGATGTCCACTGCTGTACAATGTAGATATCAAGTACCTGGTGTGCGTATTGTGCATTTTAAACAGGAAAATGAAGGATATTCAATTTTTCCTGCCAATTGATTTTTGACTAATCATGTGACGCCTGCAGAAAGTTCACTACTTGCTACTATTACTTCATTTGTGCAGTAGTTGACACCCATAATAGGAAGAGAAGTCACTGCCAGGGAGTCTTCAGAATTGCCTCTAGCTTCCCTCACATCCCTCCACATGGGGAGAAGGGAACAGAGGAAGCACCATAAAGCAGGTCTTGGTTAGTCTCAGGAACTCTTCACCTTGAGAGAATTACAGCTTCCAGCCTGCCCTCACCGCCCCCCATCAAAGCCCTGATTCTGCAAAGCATTTAAGCACCTGCTTAATTTTAAGCACATGAAGGCAATAGGACTACTCATGCTTAAAGTTAAACGTGTACTTAAGAACTCTGCTGGATTAGGGCCCAAAGAGTGATTCAGGGAGGTGAAGTGAAAGGAAACCGTATGGAGAATGTGTGGGACAGCAGGAGAAAAAGTGCTTGGACAGGGATCTCAGGGCTGTGTTCCCACTGAAGGAAAAAAGGACTGAGTGAGCTGTTGGAACCTTCCCTCAGCAGGTAAAGAAAGAAGGGCATTAAAATACACTGACTGGCTCAAGGGTAATAGTGTATGCACTGGTTTAAAAATGCTTTCCGTTAAAGTAAAGTCAACTGCAACGTGCAGTATTAGTTTTACAATGACTTTCCTGGTAAAAGGTGACATAATTGCAACATTCAAATAAGCATGATTTAGTAATGCACAATCAACATGAAAGCCAAACTCTTGATTCAAGTGTTTGAATACTAGAATGTGTATTCTAGTTCAGCCAGGAGTTATTTTAGCGAAGTTCCATGGCCTGTGTTGTACAGGAGGTCACACCAGACAATCCTTCCAACCCTTGAATGTTGGAATTATTTGTATTACTGTAGTGTACTTCTGACAACAGATTCAGATAAATGCACTCCAAGGCTTTAAATAAGTGTGTATGTAAAAACCCTGAATGGATGGATGGATGGATGACAACACACTAAAAGTTTGAAAGTAGTGTACTTTGCATGCTCAGTGCACAAATTTGAACTGTAACTGGTTTCTAAATTAAACTACTTCAAAAAATGACTAAGATGCTCAATATAGTCCTTCAGTAAAGACAACAGCAAATTGGAAGCTCTAAAAAGTTGTCACAGTGAAAAATGTTTTTGAATACACCACTCTTAGCAGAAGCAAAAAACTTCATGCTACTGTAATCCAAACCACCAAAACAGAAGTATTCAGCTCAAATATCACCCTTAGCCCAAGAACAAGAATTAGAACACTGCCAAAGGCCAGTTTTTCCCCAAAATAATAGAACTATCTTAAACTTAGGGCCAAGTGGTCTACTAGGACAGATGATAAAAAATTATATTAGATCAGTCTTCAGCCAGCTACATTTTAATTGATTTCTTAAAGTATACATAAGAGGATTAAACTCATGAACTTTTGTGTTCTGCTTTACATGATTAAATTTCATCAACATCTTAAGAAGCCCCTTAAACTGGTGGCACTTAGACACTGCAGCATTTTAATCAATTTAGCTAGAAGAGAATGCCATTTTAGAGCTATACCGGAAATTATTTTTCAAAAATGCAATCTGTATTCCTGTAATTTCTTACTTCCATTTTATTGGCCTGCCTTTTCACAAAAATAATTGAACTGTATAGTTAACAAATGCTTCCCTCTCAGTCATTCATATTCAACATGCTAGTCCTACCCTATTCTAATTCTTTATTTTAAACTGAAGCTTGGTTGTCTCTGAATTTTTGCTAATAATCCACTTAGTCTTAACGATCATTTTAATTCTCTCTGTACAAACAGAAGAAAGCCATGTACATACCTAAGTTTTCTCCACCCCACACATCCATCATCATATCGTACTTTCCTAACTCTTCGAAATAGAATTTGTCCATCACAAACAACCCGCCAGCTATCATTGGTGTTCTAAAGAGACAGAAGGGAGAAAAGTCAGAAGTTAAATATTTAATCATCTGCCAGTTTATCGTTCTCTACCATTTGAGCCTTCAAGGCTGAATGCCTACTTGAAGTAGCCTTGCAATATTTTTATCTTGAAAGCATTTAGTCATTATTCCTTGTATAGCACTACATGCATACCACCACACTAGCATTTCTAAGTAATATACTGCTTCATGGCTTATATAGATAAAATTTGTTTCTATTTCCAGATCCTTAGTCAGGTCTCATATTCCTTTTATATAGGACATGTATTCTCAGAGTCAAACTGAATTTTAAAACCCTTACCATAGTCTTAGCACAATAAAGAGATTAGTTTCAATTCAAGAAAGAAGGGGTCATCTTATAAGTGCAGACAGTACACTAAGATCCTTAGAAATAATAGTTACTTTGCACTTATAACTGTTTCTATCTGAGGGTCTCAAGAGGGCTATACAAGCAATGAAAGAATTAAGCCTCATTATCCCAATGAGGTAGGGTCAATATCCCCTTTCTGCAGCTGGGGAAAATGAAGTAGTCCATTCGGTCATAATAGGCCTAGGTTCATTTACATTTTTCAATGTATGTCAAGCCAAGTGGTGTACACAGAGTATATGTTATAATGTGTTCATGTCATATACATCTGATAGTTAACTGTTGATAGTTAACCTATGATGTTTAACAGGCCAACCAACTGGTTAAAAATAGTTCTACACATTCTAGAAAAAGGGATAAATCAAAAGCTCTTGATGTTAACTATTAAATGCCATCAGACTTTTGCTGATTATGTATATCAATAATGGAAGCTGAACAATGAATAACAGTGATTATTTCCATTCAAATCCACAGACTTGTACTATCAGTTTCTTGCTTCTGTTCCATGTGGTACAACACCAGCTTGAACAATACTAAGAACTGTAAGTTTAGGTAGAACGATGGGGAAGGAGAAAAGTAATGGATGACTCCGCTTCATGCAATGTTCTGGAACAACATTACAGTACTGCAAGTTTTTGTCTTGCATATAAACTTTCATAAAAGAACTCCCTAGCACTTATCAGTTAGCTTAGGGATCATTTGTGGAAGACAACATTTGGGAGATAGTAGCTCAGGAAGTTGCACTTTTTAAAATATCTATAACATTCTTTTGTGAGGGGAAATGTTGACAGGAACATACTTTATGGGAGCAACTGGGTTTCCTTGTCTTGCTCTTCTTTGCTCTGGTGTCATGTAATCCCATTTGAACACCAAGTTCCAATCAAAGCCTACAAGAGGGGAAAAAAATCAGAAAGGAAAAAAACTGAAAGTTAATTGAAGTTTTTATTCATTGTTCAGCCTTTACTGATGAATTTCTGACTAAAATTATTGGGAACTGACATTCAGATTAGATGGTTAGCGCAAAATGAATAGTTTAACATAAGGATTCAAATGAAAATTTGAGCTCAGGGAAACATCTGAGGAGAGAACAGAAATGAAAAGGAAAGGATGGAACAAATAAGATTTCGGATGAAAGAGAAGAAACTAGATATGACACAGAAATGGGCTCAAATGTAAACTAAATTTATCTTGAAATACTTCTATATTGTATTTTAAAACCCACAGTCAGCAACACTAAATGAGAAACAAAAATCCTTGGTATGGATCTAGTCTCATACACTTCTGGTTAAGTAGAGCATCAAACGAAGAACTTTCAGTTATCATGGACACATGAGAGGTCATTACCATAGTTATAATCTGATTAGTCAGATTATACATACCACTCCCACAGCAGTTTGTTTATTTGTTCATCTCTGTTTATTACATGAAGCACTCTCCTGGATGTCACAATAGATTTGCAATTTTTTTTCCACCTACCTAGTTTGGAAACCTACTTACGCCACTTTCTTTAACTGCATGCTTAGAAAATATGGCATGTTAAAACCTTCAGATGCAGTGCTTTATGTTTAGCAAAGTTGTTTTATGTAAGGGTGAAAAACCTCTCTTTGGACAGCTTGCTTTGTGAATTAAGATTAGAAAAACAAGCACAGAAACTGCCAAAGCTACATCAGACCAGTCACGTATCCAGTCCAGCATTCTGTCTCCAACTGTGGCTCATACCAGATGCTTCAGAAGAAGATGCAAAAAAACCCAGCAGCTATAGGATAACTGGTCAATAGTGAAAATTTCTTCCTACCCCCCTTCTCTGAGGAAGCCTTATGCCCTGAAGCATGGAGATTTATAAAAAGATACTAGAGAAAGCTACAATGCTCACTGCGTAATGGCTAACATGCCAGCTATTCATACTACACCTGCTACCAAAAGCATTTAGAACACATGAGGTCATTTAATGGAGGATTTCCAGATTTGTCAGAGATCAGAGGTTTTCCTTTCCTGAATGGAGGTATAGCAGTTTGCCTTTGGAGAAATGGGATAAATAGGAAAAGGACAAAACTGTCTCAGAAAACATTTTCCCCACCAACTCTATTGCACTAAGGATCCTTAACACGTACCAGTAGATTTCTGCCTGGTAGGATTGATGTGGACAGCAAAATGAAGACAGCTGAATCCATCTTCTACCCCACAAGATTATTTATATTAATTTTATATTCACAGAAAGTGAGTAGTAGTTCTGAAGTCTTTCATCAGACAAGCATGCCAATGGGGCAAACCTCTTTACAAGTTTGGAATTTCCTATAAAATGTTAATACTATAAAAACTAAAAAGCATTTCCACATTATATTTAGAGCTTTCATCTCTTAAAAAGCACTTTTAGATATAAAAGGAAGTAGTATTACATTAGATAACAAAGTCTCCATCACAACAAGAAAAATGTACCCCGATACTTGGTATCCTATTAAGTCAAATTTATTTTGTACTTCATAAAATGATTTGAATTACAGTGGCCTGTACTGTAGCTGCTGTTCCTATGCACAATAACTCTTGTCTCAATAGTGCCATACCCTATACTGAACACAAGGGGTCTCTTCTGGAACGCAGGAGAGTGTTACAAAACAACATACAGAATAAGCGTAGAAAGCATTTCTAACGATAGTATTGTTTTTGCTTCACCATCTTCAGTGACTGAGGAAAGCCTGAGCTCAATGAGGTGAGATCACTGACTCGATAACATGCATTATTTTAAACAGCACGTTTATATGTACTGTATCACTCAAGTGCAGGCCTCATGTGAAAAAGGTATTTCCTCTTCCTTCATATGCAAGATAATTTATGGACACTCCTATCACTAAGTGTTTAGATCTAATTTAATGACATTCTGTTACAGTAATTGAAAAGATTTTTTTCAACAGGTAACAACATTTTTACAACATTAACAGTATGAAAAGGTTGAAAATTGTCTTAGACCAAAAAGATGAAAATACATGGATTTGAAAACTGTGGTCAGATTTAGAAGTGAATGTGAGGAATTTTTTTTCCCTTTCTCCCACCCTTTAAAAAAAAAAAGACTATGATGATGATGAATTTAGTGTTTGGAAAAGACGACAGACTACTAGCCCTGGGTAATTAAGTTCTTTCCCCACAGATCATGTATAAAAGCAGTATAAGTAAGATTTCCCATGCCTAGTCATGACGTGGAGAGACTACATCTAGGGACGAAAGCATAGTTCAGTTTCCATGCTTAGTCTTCGGCCTTTGCTGAGATGGCCAAAGATGCCACATGTCACAGTGATTGTGATTGGTGTCTGTCCTCAGGGAACAGGGAGACACCACAAATTCATGTAACACAGACCTCTAATCTATTTTTAAAAGTTTGAACATGCATCATTTCTATTGCTAAAATTCAAAAGTAGGCAAATCCCACCTTTTGAGTCCATGAGGGCAGACGGTCCCACATGCTTAAACTGATGGAGGGGAAGTGGGCAGGACTGCGGAACCACAGCTCCATAGGAGTAACATTAGGAGTAGCAGCAGGCTATTAGATATATTCACCATGCACCATTACCCTCTCTTCCCCAGGATATCCAGAATTTAAAAGCATGGCAAACAAAAACACTAGACTTGCATATTTTAGAAAACTGGCACATGTATACATACCACCACCGAAATGCTTAGGAAGTGCTAATGTTGTATACATTTAGAATTCAGTTATTTACCTTTTTTATAATAACTAGTATTATAATTGTGGGGAAATCGCATGCCTCCAGGTATTAATAAAGGGATAAGGAGCCTCCCATCTCCAGGTCACAGGTTGGAACTTGACACTCAAGCATAGTGTCTGAAGTGAAGACTGACCATATTCAGTCTAGTTTCATCAGTAGGGATCATTCCTAAGACAGCCGATGTAACTAGCAAATGCAGTGGCAGTCTCAGTAAACACTAAAGACTAAATGGGCATGGAAACTGAACTACCCTCCCTGAACGGATCCCCTCTAAGCCATGGTTGAAACACCTTAGAGATCAGCATGAAGGAGTTTCCACTGACACTGCTTACACAGTACCTGTCATGTGAACAGAGTTCAGTTTCCAGGGTTGCTACTCATCCACTTTGCTTTGTCTTGTATTTTAATGGCAGCACCGAAGAACTCAGCCCTGGCTTGAAGTTTTATAGGTGCTGTATAAAGCGTTTATTGTCAGTCAATTATTCACACAATAGGTTCAGGGAGTGCTTTTAATTTATTATTTTGAAAGAAAGATTCTACTATTTCTAACAGAGTTCTCCATTATAAAATTAAGGAATAATGGAATGATAGAATCTTTCCAACCGTATACATTATTTGAAGGTAGCCACTGTACCCTACCAATGCATACAATTCATGATTGTATTCTCAAACAGTTTAGTCCAAATGTTTGAGATGAGAGTTCAGTTTTAATTTTTAAATAAACAATCTGCATGCATGCATCGGGGGCAGGGTGTGAGGGGGAAAAAAAAATCAATAAGCACAACACTACTGATGACTTGCCAAGCTATATAGTGATAAATGCCTTATCTAAAAGTAGAATCAAATACCGTGGCCATATGCTTCTCCTAAAATGTATACAAAATTACCATAAACATCGGTGAGAGTTTTGCATGAGAACAGGGTAGTATAAACCTTAAGTGTTTGTTTATGGCTCAAAAGAAACAGTTTTCAAATAATGGAATCAGAATCCAATTTGAGTCCAGTCTAAGCCCAGGAAGACTGTGAAAACACCAACCTGATGTGTGAAAAGAAACAAGGGTGCATTAATGCTGTCAGTTCTGGGAATGCAGCAATTATGTTTTGCGCTTTGCTGCATTAATTTTTTGTTGACTCATATTCCAGTACAGGTACATACCGCCTTTTAAATCAGCTGACGCCCCCACGTACTGGAAGTTGTCCATATTAATTACATCAATTATAGGAGACACAACTCTGGTCTTGTCCTAAAATAAATATTAAAAAGTAATATTGAAATAATGAAATCAATAGAAAAAGATTCAAGCAAGATGAGATGTTGAACCATTTAGTGGGAGACCATTAACGCCCCTTTTCCTGTTTTTGACTCACTCTGAACAGTCAGAAAGAATCTCTCACATCAGCTCTCTCAGCAAGAGAGAGTTCTCTCCATCACCTCCAGAAGCAGCTGCCTCGTCTTATGATTTTCACCCCCTCTTCATTCTAGGCTACTTTTATATAATTTAATCCTCTCCCTTCGACTTGATCCTGAAGCAGACATTACTGCACTGCACATCAAACCTCAGAAGGCAAGTCAGAAGCACTTGCACCATTCTTAGCTTAAAACTACCCCAAAGAACAAGAGTGTCAAAGCTGCTCCAGAATTCAGATCTCAAGTCTCCTGCAATCCAGTATACTGCAGTACTCACCAGGTCTTTGCTAGTCTACCACCTTAACCCAATTTAAAAAGAAAAAAAATGTTTTGACCCTGCTACATCAGGAGATCATTTCACTAGCACTGATAATGTTACATGCCAGTGTAGAATGTAAGAAACCTGGATTCTTAAGGCGGTCAATAGACTCCACATTCAAATACACCTCTACCCCAATATAACGTGACCAGATAGAACACAAATTTGGATATAACGCGGTAAAGCAGCGCTCCGGGGGGGCGGGGCTATGCGCTCCAGCGGATCAAAGCAAGTTCAATATAACGCGGCTTCACCTATAATGTGGTAAGATTTGTTGGCTCCCAAGGACAGCATTACATCAGGGTAGAGGTGTACTCAACTAGGTAGGAAAAAGAATGTCAAAATATTAAATCCATGAAAAGTAACTAATTGCTACCAACAAAGCCTTTGGATAGCTATTGCACCCACCAGCTTTGAATGCTTCTGAATTGCTTTGAATGCTACTCCAAACAACATGTTCTTCAAATGCAAAGTGTTTCATCAAATTCACAAAACTTGCTTTCCAATTACTCCTGAATGTAATCATTAGGATCTTGGTAAGGTCTTAGTACTTAAAACTACTGATTTTGTGATATTCCAAATGTGATAGCTTGGCATGTTCCATTTCTTTCTGTTGAGTGAACATAAACACATTCAAACATAACTTCTGATTGTTCAAACAAATGAGGACCTATCTTGAAAAATAATTGCTTGCATGCAAAGTAATAGTACCAGAACTCTGGGCTCAGATGTAAGATTCAGATTGCATCACTTTGATGACATGCATGGATAACATTTCTGAACAGAATGCCATCAATTAGGGGCAGGACCAAAACATGTAACTCAAGAAATCCCTGTAGATTAAGGAGTATGGAAAATGTAAACAGGTATCCAATAAAGGAAAGGAGCTCTATTTTGATTAATCTATAATAAAGTAAGCACTCATGTTAAATAAGGCACAAAGCTAAATCTCTTAATCATGCTTTTAACTGTATTTATGTGGTTAGTTTTCATTTAAAGTAATAGGGTATATATCTTCTAATTATGGGTTCAGCACCCCACACTTTGCACCTCTAACTGGTTATTAATAATTTTGTCCCTTGCACTACTGAACTTTTGCAAGAATATTATAATTGCATATACTGAAAGTGATTGCTGTAAAGTATTCACTCCTCTGGTTAATCAATTTAAATATGCCAAGTCAAGAAATATATCACCTTGTTTTATCTTCATTTAAGATTAATTGCTAACTCCCTAATAATCTCAGTGTAGCCACTGCAAGTTATTACAAGTACCTATAATCTTGTGAAATACGGAGTATTTTACAGGAGTCGGACGGGTCATCTTACCTTCAGTGAGTAGGGATGTCTGAAATCTACAGCCTACTAAATTCGTCAAAGGAGAATCTAATTGGGTCTGTAGTTAAAATTCAAGCTAAGGGTCCTAACCAATATCATTTCAGTTGTGGCACATAGGCCAACTATGACCCTTCATCAAAGACTTTAAACCTTGAACACTGTGCTGCATTCACAGTAGATGGACAAATAATGCAATAATTAGTTTAGTCTAATTAAGTTAGAAAAACCCAGAGACACAAATCAAGCTTGAGACACAGGACAGGACAGAAAAGGCAAAATATAAGCCTTTTTGCTCCCCCACCCTTTATATATCCACTTGCGCCAAGCTAATCCTAGATATAAACTGCACAAAGACTGGCACTAGATGAATCCCTTTGTGCTCTCAAATGAGCAGTCAATTTTCCAACCAGTTCAAGTATGCTGGATCTTAACTATTCCATTAATTTATAGGAATGGGTCACACACAAAAAAACCAAAAATGAACCCCCCCAGAAAGTAAGATGTTTGAACCAAAAAAAAAAATTAAAAAAATTGTGTTTGTTTGTTTTACTTTGGTAAAAATATTTCCAAATACTGAGATACTGCTAGGGGAAACTTCCTTGTTTAAAAGTAAGTGGCGGGGTGGGGTGGGGGTGGGAAAGCCTCACAGTGGGCACCCAAAAGCATTGCAGCCTATCTGGTTGTTTTTATAGTACACCCAGCACTGGATATCCAGGTGTAGCAACCAAATCCACACTAAATACTGCTCATTCCTCAGTTGAAAGTGAGGTATCTAAGCCCATCTCTCAGAGAACCAGCTTGGCACAGCTGAGTGGCAGTAAAAGATGCTCAAACCACCTTTGTGGCTCTCCAATATGGGGCTGTTACACCAGAAGGGGACTGCCAGAACACAGCAGAGCTCCAGCCATGCCCTCTAGGTCAGGGCTGGGCATAATGGGGTAGCTGGCAGCTTGCTGACTATATATATATCCATCCGTGATTCCCACATGCCAGGAATTCTAGTCCGGTTCATTTCACTTGGATACCCATACACTAGTATCACAATGCTTAAACAAAAACTTAAAAAAAATTATAAAAGCTTTATAAAAGTATCCCACAAACTAACTTGTAGGTTTAAACTACCAGACCATAGCTCTCTAATACTGCATTACTCTCCAGTTTTTTTAATGATTATATCATCTGTGGTTTTCCTCATGATGTAAAGCAATAGATTTTTTTTTTGGCAGCAAAATGGACAGGGCATTTATGTATTCTTAAGATTAATCCTTGCACCATGCTATTAAAACTGTTAATGCATGTAAAGTGTTAACTGATATTCAGGCTTCAGTATATAGGGGGTACAGAACCATCCACTGAAAAGATTAAATTCAACGGCTCCCCTGAAATAGCCATTAGTTAAATTGCATTTGCTATGCAAAAAGATACTTAATTTCCATTGCTGAAATCCTATAGGCAGTTTGATGGGCATTTTGAATACCAGAACAAAGGCTAAGTGAAAATCTTGTTACATTTTTTAGTCTGCTGCTTCTGTTCCGTAGGTTTTTCCACTATACTTTGCAATGGCATATAGAACTGAAAAGGTGTGTGTGTTTTGTGGTGATGTTGAAGGGAAATAAAGTATGAACACAGTATGAGTCTCTAGATCCTGGAAATTCAAAGTAATATAGTATTTCATTTTAATATTTGGTAGAGAAGTAATGCAGGCTTTACAAATTTGGTGTATCATATACTGTACTTAAACCATCAGGAAGTATCCTCAGGATTCTAAATATTTTGCTTTTTAAAAATTCTAGAGGATTTCAAATGGTTTTACAAAGATTAAGCTTCACAATACTACGAGGATCTACTGATATTCTCATTTTGCTGTTGTGCAAACAGAGTTTAAGAGACTCACTGAAAGTCACATGAGAAATTTGAGAGTCATGGAAATAGAATCAGTCTCACTCAGTCACAATACCATCCTTTCTTCCTCCAAACCTCGTTTGTTTTAAAGTCTACCACTGTCAAATAAGAGTGATACTCAGAGTTTATACAGTCTACAGTTAGGCTGTGATGGCAGAGATCATGAATTAAACTGTCCCCAGATATGCACGCAACACTTGTTTATAGAACAGATCTAGGAAATAGAAAATGCCAAATAGAAAGGATGTAATATCTGGGCTTGTGAAGAACATGAGAGCTACCCGTATTATTTTTACGAATATTGTGTACCTGTTTATTTGATTATGATTATGTTTGCTACCTGGTTTCAAAGGATTAGCTCCTACAGGAGCTCATCTCACAGCAGAGGTCAGAGTATGGCTTTACATCAACCAATCACCAGTTCCTAACAGATAATGCAAACAATCTGCTTTGAAGCCTATCCTTGACCTCCCCCAGTGGGGTGCATAAGCCGGTTTGGCCAGCTTCAGGAGACCCAGGTAAGACAAAGGAACTTTGGAGGGGCATAAAAAGGGGACCATAGAACAGGAAGAGAGTCTGCAGGGAAGCAGATGGAACCCCTGTCAACAGAAGCAGAAGTACCTGGGATAAGCTGGACTTCCCTAGGCTTTGAGGGAATGCCAAGCTGTAGGTAAGACAATATGCGTGTAGGCCTTCTGTTTTAACCCTTTTCTCTGATTGCTATGCTACTATATATAAAATTTTGTTTTGAAAAAGCTGCTTTGAGTCACTGTTTACACCTACTGGCCACAGCTCCTGAAGGGAAGGCTCTTGCAGGTGCCAAATCCAATGGGGCCTGTTCAGGAATCATGGTAAGTAAACTGGGATGCTGTAGCCCAGAAACCCAGTCTGAGTGGGAGAATCATGAAATTCTACTCCCAGACAGAAGGCAGGGGCCCAGTGTCTGAGGGGTTTACTCTGGAGAGATCTGTGAGGGGAAAAGGTGCAGTTTACACTAACTGTGACAATGCTGTTACAGCATGTCAATCACGTAAACTGATTCAATTCAATCACCACACTAAGATATTTGTACTGTACTCTGCTAAAACTGCTCTCCTTCCCTTGCCCCATTCGAAGTTTTCTATCAACTTTCATAGTGTATTTAATCTTTGTAAAAACCAATGACCACTGGGCAGCACTGGAAATAGAAGACCTCTAGTTACCAACAAAGCTGGTATTGCAAGGGTAGCAGCAGTGCAGGCTTTCCACACTGCCCTATTAAATGTGTCCCAACCATGACCTGAAGAAGTCATCTCTAGGCCTAAAACAGGTGAGTTTTCACATCCATTCCACTTTTAGGCTCAGACTGTAAAAAAAGTGCCAATTAATGCCAAACTACATATTGTTTGCACTGTGAGCAAGTCTGAGCCCAACGCATAAGGTAACCAAGAGCCATCACATACTGTATATGAATTGTTTCCAGTCCTTACCAACCTGAGCCAGCATAACACCTGGAATCAGTACGCTCCATTATCAAACCCCCAGTCATCTAGTCAATGAGTCTTGCCTTTCTTTCTGAAAGGGCAGAATATAGTATATTCTAACTTCTACCCAAGAGAGAAACCTGAACTCCATCACTCTTAAATGCTCATCCCATTCATAAATGGGTTAATATGGCGGGTTGACTATAATAGTAGGGGACTGGATTTAACAATCCAGGAGGGCCCTTCCAGTCCTATGTTCATTGAACAATGTATGAAACCAAGCATGATACAATGCAAAAAGTGAAACGGTAATACATCAAATAGAGAACCATTCAGGATTTCATATATGATTAGTTCATATATGTTTCTGCTTCTCAGGGAGGTATTTGCTATATGATAATGGTGAGGAAACAAGTTTAAGTGGATTTAACCACTTCTATCCTGCTGGACATAGCTGACATGTGGAGCAAAATGCATCAGATGCTTCTTCTAAGTAAATCACTTAATCGTGCGGGTGCTCCATTATCCTGTCAGAACTTCAGAATAAAAAGGTACCATATTCTGTTTTAACGAAAGGGTTAAATGACATTTCCTACCTCCCAATTTAACTTTCTAAAACCAGTCAAGTATAGCCTAAAGAGTGCATAATGGCATTGTACTAGTACAGAGACTGGAAACAAATAAAAGCCTGGGGGGGGGGGGGGAGGAAATATTTGCCCTCTACAAAGAGCTGTACTGGCTCAGAACGCCACTTTACTTGCTGTGTCCCAGTAGGTAGAGGCTTCAGTCAAGCTGGGCTAGTGGGCTTCAAAAGAGTTTCCTTCTCCCTAACTTTTTGTATTGGCATAACAAGTTTGTAAGCTGAGGGCTTCCCACAAGACATTTGTTATTTTCCTTTCCCTTGCTCCCTCTGAAACTCTCTACAGAACTGCTTGCTGGTTTGGGGCTTTTCTGCTCCCTTTTGAGATAGGAGAGACCATTCTAGCACTACAGAACCACAGAGATAGATGGAACCTCAGCTAAGGGGGCTTTGATATACGGCACTTTATGCAAGTACTAAGAAATATGAGCACTGATGTGATGTATTTAGCTTCAGGCACTCTAGACGCTAATTAGTTACTCTAGTACTGTCAAAATTTGACTTGGTTGACGTTATTAACATTTGGAAATAGAACACTAATCACATTGTAAATGAGCACGTGCTATATGTCAACTAGCAACAGGGTACCACAGAATTAAACAGCAGAGAGTACCAAAAATAGAAATTGGTACCTGTCACTGCCTGTTGGTAATAAGAAGAACTACAATCCATCTGTTCTGAACTGGAGTATTGATGGCATAGACTAATTCTTTTGTGAGATGGGTAGAAGAATATGGCACTAGTAAGACAAAGTATCTAATGGAAACTGTTTTTAAGATGAAGGCTGCATTATTTATTACTGTATTCATAGTTTGGTACATTATAAACTGATTTGGATGTGATTTTATCTGAAGCTCCAGACAGCAGTGTTCTTCAGCCATCCTGGGCCCGGGTTTGATCAATTCAGCTACTGATGGTGGCCTATGTAATTTTAAAACAAGAGTTTTGCCTTTTTCATCCCCTCCACCCCCCACTCCACTATGTAGAAAGAGGGAATTAGAGCAGGGTCATTGTGAGAGGAAACATTTATGGAACAGGTGTGACGTTATTGACATGAACTGTGACCGTATAGATCATTGTTGCAACCAAGGTCATATAGTGGCAGCATATATTGTACAAAGGTTGTCATGTGAGGTCTATGAAGAGGTTATGATTTGCTGGTTATAATTATGCTAGATGTATGTGTGTATCATTTTTGTATCTGAAGTTATGAATATGGGCTATGTACTTGTATCTTACATGTTTTTGATTCTAAGTAGCCTTTGGTCAGCTTTTTGAGAATGGGCACTTACTGAGAATAGTCCTATCAAGAAACACTTAACTGACAATGAACTTTGGGAGATGCCAATCCACATCTGAGCTTTCCTGGGAACCTTCAAACATGTAAACAATGGCGGCCTATAAAGAACTGAGTCATGCATGGACATGTGACTTGCTCATGAGACTAGAAACTCCATCTTGCTGTGATTTTCCACAATCAGAACAAAGGGGTGTCCTTTCACAGGGAGAGAATATAAAAGGCTATGGAAACTCCTCCATCTTGTCTTCAATCCTGCATCTGACCTCTGGAGGAACTTTGCTACAAACTGAAGCTCTGAACAAAGGACTGAATGACCCATCCCAGTTGTGGATGTACTCCAGAGGCTTGATTTGAACCTGCAGTTTATTCCATCACTGCTAAAAGCCTGAACCAAGAACTTTGCCTTTACTGTATGTAATTGATTCCATTTAAACAATTTTAGCTCTCATCTCTATCTTTTTCCTTTATGAATAAACGTTTAGATTTTATATTCTAAAGGATTGGCAACAGCGTGATTTGTGGGTAAGATCTAATTTGTATATTGATCTGGGTCTGGGGGTCCTTTGGGATCGGGAGAACCTTTTCTCTTTTACTGGGATATTGGTTTTCATAACCATTCATCCCCATAACGAGTGGCACAGGTGGTGATACTGGGAAACAAGAGTGTCTAAGGGAATTGCTTGTATGACTTATGGTTAGCCAGTGGGGTAAAACCAAAGTCCTTTCTGGCTGGCTGGTTTGGTGTGCTTAGAAGTGGAGAAACCCCAGCCTTGGGCTGTAACTGCCCTGCTCTAAGCAATTTGTCCTGAACTGATACTCTCAGAAGTTTTCCACCAAAGGCAGCATCATTACAACAGGTAAATGAAAAGGGCATTTTAATGAGAAGGGGAGAGGAGGTGAAAGGTAGGCAATTTGCTTTTTGCAGTTTTCTTCAACGCTTCCTGGGGCAATGCTTGGACCAGCTGCTACTTATACAGAATTTTGAGAAATTAAAGATGTTGCTTGCTTACCAAGAAACAAGTATAAAAATATGGTTCATACATGGAGAGAGAGTACGTGTGGATTCTTAACCAATCTTACCAACAGCTTTCCACAGACACAAATTAGTTAGCCCAACTTTTTCCCATTACCAATCTGAATATCCTCTCAACACCATCAAACAGGAATAAATATTCACATAAATGGAGTTACACTGGGGTGATGAGAATTATATCTAGCTTTACAGTTTCTTTAAAAAAAGGTTACAAAGAAAAGTCATTGAGGAACCAAGAAGCATGTTTGAATTGCTTAGAAAAATTATAAAAAGAGTATTTACAGATTAAGGTCTACTGTTTAGATTAAATGACCAAGAAGTGGGCTTTCATCAGTGAACACTCATGTCATCTTTCCTCTCACTTCAAAGAGAAAACCATCTTTTTATATATGTATAAAATTAATGCAGTATAAATCATTTTATAACCCAGGTAAGCATACACCTTAAACTAACCTCAGCAACTCTCTCCAGAAGAGGTTCCAGCCAGTGCTCATTGCATTCACAGTGACTGTCCAGGAATGTCAGTACTTTAGCCTGCGCTGCATCTGCCCCTCTGACACGGGAGCGCATCAAGCCTGAGGGGAAAAAAAATCTAAATAAGTCATCACAGGAGGAGGAATATCAACAGTAAAGAGACAATAACTAAGTGCTCTAAAATGTAATTAGTACTCCAATGCAGTCAGCCTGTTAACAAGCCTAGCTATAAAACCAGCTGTTAGTGTAGATTTAGTGAAATGATGAGAGGATAAAATGACCAAAAGTGACAAATTTCCAATCTGTTGAAGGCTGGTCTACAGTTTTTGTACTTAATTATTTTAATTAGGTGTGATTTTCTACCAAAATAGTCATACTAGTGCAACCCCTAGTGCAGACACAGTAATACTGGTATACATGGTGCTTTGACAGTATATCTTAATTCCCCTTTCCTTACAGCAATAACTATACTGGTATAAGTATCTTCACACCTGCATAACTCCATCCACACCAGGAAGTTGTACTGCTTTAAACTATACTGGTATAGTTAAGTGGTATAACTTGCATGCTTAGACAAACCCTAACTTTCCCAAGAACTTGCTGTAGTGGTTCCTGTCACAGGCAGTGGCAGATTTGCAAAAGGGGACACCATTGCCAAAACTCTCCCCTTCCCTTTTACCTCAAGCCTCCTTGAGCACACTTTCTGCTCCTCCCTCTTTGATTGCTTCTAGTCTGGCATCTGCCCCTCTCAAATGCATCAAAACTGTTCTCACAAAACTAGGATTTTTTATTCCATGTTTAATCGCCTTCTCCATTTCCAATCCTCTATTCCTTGGGCTTCTATGACGGTCTTCTCTGGTGGTTCTCCTACTTGGCTGACCACTCCAAAAGAACTTTTGGTGAACACACTTCCCCCCTTTCCCCAGGGTAAGTTCCTGGGAGATTTACCCTTGGTTCCCTCCTTTTTATCCTCTCCTCTACCATTGCTAACTGAGTGATCTCCTCTGTTCTTATGGTCTCCTACCACATCTATGCAGACAACTCGGATCTACCTCTCCACCCCCAACTTCTCCCCATCTGTCTCATCTCTCAATCAATGTCTCACCTCTTACTTAAATTAAACATAGTAAATACTGAATTCCCTGACTTACCACGTCTTCATCACTGTTCACAATCCATTGTTTTCACTGTTGTTCAAGATCACAACCCTGGGATTATATCTTTCCTTTTCTACTTATACTCCAGTTCCCATCAAATCTTGTTGCTTCTCCATCTACAAATGTTCTAAAATCCACCCTTCCTCTCCATCCCCACTGCCAAAAGCTTAATTCAAAAGCATAACTTTGTCATATGGACTACTGCAACCTTTTCCCTCTCAGGCATTCCCAACTCATCTTTCCCTTCCTTCAGTCTGACATTCAGCAGCTAAAGAAGTACTGAAGTCTCTTTCACGATGTCTTTCTACATGAAGTTTAATCACCTCATCCTCACTTTTAAGTCTCTACCCTGCTTACATTTCATCTCATTTTCCCCACCTCGCCCTCTGTGCTCTGACCACCATCAGACCTTGTTGCTTCCTTTGTCTCCTTCCCACTCTCACCTACATACTTTTTGTTTGTTTGCTTGTTTTTAAATAATTGCGCCCTCCATGTAGAACATCCCACTGGGGCACCAACCACCTTCATTCTTCTCTTTCAAGTCCCTTTTCCCAAAATACAACTTTTGGATTTTGCTTGCATTAACTTCCACTCCCAGGTTGTCTTCTCTACTCTCTTGCACTATACCTTTAAAAATATCAGGCTTTCCAATTTGCTTGCTCTGACTCCCTTTTGTTTTAACTCATACCCTCATTTTCCTACCTTTTTCCTTTGTCCAAAAGGACCTGTCTGGTTTTAAGATTAAGCTAGATAAGTTTATGGAGGGAATGGTTTAATGGGATAACATGATTTTAGTCAAATGAACAGCGTGCCATCACTGGTAAATAGTATCAATGGCCAATGAGGGTCTGGCTGGACAATCTTGCCTACATGCTCGGGGTTCTACTGATCGCCATATTTGGGGTCGGGAAGGAATTTTCCTCCAGGGTAGATTGGCAGAGGCCCTGGAGGTTTTTCGCCTTCCTCCGCAGCATGGGGCAGGGGTCGCTAGCTGGAGGATTCTCTGCTACTTGAAGTCTCTAAACCACAGGATTTGGGGACTTCAACAGCAGAGTCAAGGGAAAGGGGTTGAGACGGCTTTGTGGCCTGCATCATGCGGGAGGTCAGACTAGATGATCATAATGGTCCCTTCTGACCTTAAAGTCTATGAGTCTATCTTCACGTTCTGCTTTTCTAATTTCTTATGTTACACTTCATTTCTCTTATTTTTGCTCCTCTTAAGTTTTAATGTTCAGATCAATAAGGTATCAATTTAGTACGATACTTATTTACTTTCTATATTTGTTTTGTACATAATAGTAACACATGCTTTTGATAACAAAATGTTAAAATGTTTTCAATGCATTGTTTTTTGTTTATATGGCTCTTTGTACATTTAGGGAAAAAAATAAAATCTTAATAAAAACAGACTGCTTGTTCTTCAGGGCAAGAATCATATCTACTCTCTAAAACACCATGCAAAATGAATCCACTCCCATTAATTGTTCATAAATTGTTTTTTCTGGGACATGCATCATCAGTAAAAGATGTCAGTCAAATTATGTCTTCGATTACACTTGTGCAATCCTGCTCTCTAGATGTATGAACCAAAAAGAATTTAGCTCACCCTCTCTAAAGTTCTACAGTACTGTGAAGAATTAAAAACACACTAAGATCTCTACTTTAAATCAGTTTTCCAGTGACAATTATCTTGTTCTTTTTTACTTTAAATGCAGTTATGATCTGAAAAATGACATCCTCTTACTCAATAGACCCCAGTCAGTGTTCTAAGTCATCAGTGCTTTTTTTTTCTGACAAAGTATTGCTTACAAGCAAAGTCCAAACAATATATGCAAGCACTGTACACCCAGCAGAGTGGAAATTCTTGTGCAAAATATACCTTTAATTATAGAATGTCAAGAGATTTCACGTGTCAATTCCTGGTTTTGGACAATCTCTTATAATTACTTAAACATCCAATAATTCTAGCTGCCCCAGAGGCAAGACTGGCAGCCTTGTAGGCAAATATTTATAAAAGTGAATAAGGACATGTCTGATAGTTCACTCTCAGCTACAGTAGCTGTCAACCTCACAAAGTTACATCAACAAACAGCTGTAGGACAGTCTCCCATGTCTCTAAGGTTTTAAACCCCATATTTAAAAAGCTGCTGTCTGAAGGGCTCCTATGCTGTGAAGTGAGAGACTAGTGTGCAATGTCAAGGGGAAGAAAGAGCGAGACAGAGGAAAGAAGTGCCTGAATCAGATTGGAAAAGTACCTTATTTACACACCTAAACATTACATTTTATTTGTTGCATTACTAATCCACGTATACTTTTTTGCACAAAGAGATACAGAATACGTAGCACATATTTAAAAAAAATATTTCAAGTTCACTGTTAACAAAAAGTAACTACAGGCCTAAAATCCAAGGCATTTTCCCCTCCCCAAAGTAATTTTACAAAACACACCTTCTCGACGATCATTTCGAAGAACCCGCACTTTCTCAATTTTCCCCAACAGAGCACCATCCTCAGCTAGATGAGACATGAATTAAATAAATGACATGCAACTTGACAATCATTAAAAGAAATCATAAAATTAGCTGTTTCACCAATGAAAAGCAAAAAATTCAAGTTTCAAAATATTTACATTTTAACATATTTATAAATTAATAAAAAGATAAAATGAATCTCTCGTCTTGTCACAAATAGATTTTTATTCAACTGAAAAACTGAGCTTGCCTTAAGTTTTCCAATATTTCTGATGTGATGAACTTCTAATGTGCTACAAAATGCATGTTCCTGTAAATTAAAGGTATCCTGCCAACTTTATTTTAGGCACAACGTTTTGCAGAAATAGGCTTTTACAAGATATATTAATAAAAATAACTGATTTCTCTTTAAACAGGTTTTGAAAAGGCATTATGTCTCTGCAGTGTCTATAACCCAAACTTTGCAGTATCCTGCTAATATATGTGAACTCACTAGTGAAATGAAGATGGGTGACTTCTTTTGTAATCAGAATTTATACTTACTGGACTAATTTCATTGTCCAAGGTGTCAGCCCCCTTGTAAAGCAGTGATATCAAATGGCTGGTACAAATATCAGAAGTTTATAATAAAAACGTTAATACTATGGCAAGCTCTTTCTCCTGTTTGGGCTGCACCCAGCAAGATGTGATTAAAAACTACATACTGCATGTTTCTTCATAGTTAAATGGCAATGACAATAATTCTGACAGAACTAAGATCAAATATGGAACCTGAAACTCCAAACTCCAAGTCACGTGAGTAAAGATATTGAAGGCTCAGGCCCCACGACTAGTACTTACGATCATTGCTGTAATCATCCACCAGTATGATTTCTTTGATAAGATGTGATGGGCTTTTTTTAAGCACACTGAAAAAAGAGAAGTCAGATAACTAATTAGGGTTCACCTTCCATATTACAGTTATGAGAGTGACTTGCAGGGCAACAGGATCTCTCTCTCTATACCTGACAACAGTTCGAAGTAAAGCAGATCTGGCCTCGTTGTGGAAGGTGATCACTACACTAGTGGCTGGCAGGTCTATCCGCCATTGTTTCCGTTGACACCTAAAGACAAAAAACCCTGTAATTTAAACTCATAGTACTCACACATTGCAAAGAACTCCATTATGAAGCTGTTACCAATAAAGTTAACATATGTCCTACCATGCATCTACCTTAAATATTCTTCAGAAGATTGAAATACTTGGCTCTCGTGAGTAACATTAGAATAAAGTAATTTCCTCTTTCTGATAATTCTGGTAACTGCTCTAAGCAAAAGTATTTTGTTTATAGTTCACAAAATTATAACAGCTATGTGCTGGCCATATTCAAGGACTAGGTAAGCCTCTCAAACCAGTGACAAAAGGGCTTAAAATTTGATTTGCTATGAGCCCACAGATAACCCTTTATTAAAAGTATTTATACAGTACTTTGTATTTCAGACTAATTTATTGAGGAACCATTTGAAAGCATGTGATTTTTACAGTTAAACAACCGGTTTCAAGTGTTCACCTTTCTCTGTCAAAATGCACACAAATAGATCTAGAGTTTTCAGGGATGCATAGCATGTATCCGACAAGTGTAGATGTATGTATATGCTACTACGATCAATGTTTGGTAAAAACTATGAATTGACATTCAAGGGCTGCTATGTACACTGTGCAACAGTGACAAGCAAGGCAGAGCAAGCAGATGGCAGAACAAGTTGGAGCTCTTTTGTCACTGGAGAGGTTTCAGCTGTTGCCTGAATTTGGCCAGCATGCAAACATTCTGACATTTAACTGTTTTGTTGCCTCATCACTTTAGCAGATGATATGGGAAAGGTGCTGAAAGTGAAATCCACTGGGAGAAGGGAAAACAGAAGATAGGGAAAGAAGAGAAAGAAAAGGTAGAAATAATGATGGTCCTGAAGGTGAGCCTACTTTCCCAGCGAGTGATTTAATGCAACAATAAAGTACTGAATAAATAAATAAAAGATGGGGCAAATTGATGTAGTACTCAATTCTCAAATGGCAATAATGCTTAAGCACAGCAAGAAACTGCTTTGAAACCTTCTTGTGAAGCTGCTGTATGCATACACAATTTTATTCAAGTTGTGAGTTCTGTTTTTTAAAAAAAGCTGGTAATTAAAATTGGCATTTCAGACTACTGCTTGTGGCAACAACTTGATTGAAGAGCAGCATTAAGTAGGGACATTTTATTGAAAAGTAACATTTTAGCCCCTTAACTAATATAGACACATACTAATATATATATTTAGCCCCTTAACTAATATTATATATATATAACATACACACACACACACACGTTAGGGCTAGATAAAAATTTAATACTATTTCCAGGAAATAAATAAAAGAGGACACACTTTCCCATAAAATATTTTAACCCAATAAGTAACTGAAAAACAAATTAAAGTTTTATCTGACCAAGTCTTCCATTTGCTTTTAAAGTGTTTGTTCCCTTGCAAAGGCGATGAGGCACTTTTCAGTTGAGCAGTTCATTTTGTACTACTAGCATTGCAATCCCTGATGAATATAAGATTAAGTGGCAATTACATTTAAAAAGGGATAGACCAATACCTTTAAAACATGATTAGAAAATACTACTGATGATCTGGGTAGAACTGGGTCTAATCCTGTCCTTGAACTGTAATACATTACAAATCTTTAAGTTCCTCGGTTCTGGGAAATCTGATTTTCTCTAATGCCTAATTCCAATATCAGAATTTAAGGGTGAACATATTCATTCCTCAAAGGTCCTCTTTTGCTATATTTGACTTCAGTGCAATGGTGCTTTAAAAAGCTCTTTATAATACTTAGAACTTGGATAAGTACATGTTATATAAATCTAAATATAAATAGCTAAATAAACCTCTTAAAAATTAGAGTGTTTAAAGGGCTGCATTCTGATTGTTTGGGACTGGTGCTCAATTTCAACATCCAATTCCATGTACGGGTCTCCTAGGTGGCTGGTACTGTACTGGGCTTGCTCACATATATGGTCTTCTATGTAAGTCTAAAAATCCATATTTTAGGATTCTAAAATTCAGAATTTGAAAAACAAGAGTAGCTGTGAAATGATATTCATGCAAATAAACAAAATATAATCCTTCTAAACAGTGATAATGGTAGGGTAGTCCATCTAACAACTAACTTTTCATCAACTCTAATGGGCTCAGAGTTTAATCTAGAAAAGACCAAATCCCAAAATGCTTAATCCCCCACAGAACCTATAAGAAATTAAGCTGCTTAAAAATCTCATTGGCAATACATTTGAAAAATACTATCAATTATTGTGTGTTTGTTCCCTTCCAAAGTTAACAGAGCAGGAGAAAGCCTCACTTTAGAAGAGATCCTATGGTATGTATCACAAAAGGCCTGGGGAATTAAAAAAATGATCCTTGTCCACCTATAATGATGCACACTAGTCTGTCTTAGTGTCTTCATTTCCTTTGATGTCCTTTTAATTAATATTAAAAGCTGAGTGTTTTAAAGTAGTGGTTCTCAACCTTTCCAGACTACTGTACCCCTTTCAGGAGTGTGATTAATCTTGCTTATCCCAAGTTGCACCTCACTTAAACTACTTGCTTACACAATCAGACATACAAATACAAAAGGGTCACAAACACACTATTACTGAAAAATTGCTTACTTTCTCATTTTTACCATATAATTATGAAATAAATCAATTGGGATATAAATATTGTACTTACATTTCAGTGTATAGTATATAGAGCAGTATAAACAACTCATGGTCTGTTATATTTTACTTTGTACTGACTTGGCTAGAGCTTTTTATGTAGCTTCTCATAAAACTAGGCAAATATCTAGATGGGTTGATGTACCCCCAGAAGACCTCTGCATACCCCGGTTGAGAACCACTGTTCTAAAGCACACAGAAATATGCAGTGTGGGTAGCCATGATTAGCTGCACCATCAACTAATAGCAAGCTCAGCACATCAGGCAAAACATTGCTTAAAAGTGGATTTGATTGTATATTCTAAGAAAAAAATGAGATTCCTACCTCAATTTTTAAAAAAAAGATAATCTGCCTGCATAAAAGCATTCTCCACATCCGAGGACATGAGAGTCAATGATATGCATATAAAACTCGGCAAGTTATAAATATTTATGGAATGGAGAAGCAAGCAGCAGTGGCTAGAGCAGTGAAAGCTTCCGCCTTTCCCACCTAGAAAAGGCCCCATCTACACTACATATTTTAGTGTTAACAACTCCAAATCCCTAGCACACCTATAGCATGACACACACACACACACACGCTTGCAGTGGTACACAAATACTCACAGAACAGTTGTGATTACACGTCAAGGCTATGCCCGTCAAGCCTTGAAGGTCTACACTGCCACTGGGAACGAGCCTTCCAGCCAGGCAGACAGATTCGCATTGGAGGGGCTTGAGGTAGGACAATAAAAATAGCAGCGTGGATGATGCTGCACCCGCAATGGCTCGGGCTGGCCACCTGAGCTCAAATCCAGAAATTTGGGTGGGTCCAAGTCAGGTAGCTACCCCAAGCCTTCACTGGTGCAGCAACGTCCATTGCTGTTTTTAGTGTGCACTAGGCTCAAGCCCTGTTAGCACAAGTCTGTCTGCCCAGGCTGGGAGACTTGCTCCCAGCTGTAGACATGCTCTAATTGAACTGTTGTCTATCAAGATTTGCAGAGCCAGGTTTGGCTTCGTGACTCAGAATCTATTGGCGTTCATGGTCTGTAAAGTGACAGTGACGTTGGATACCACATTAATGTCCATTGTGGGGTGAGAATACCATGCCTCTTTGTCCACAGAAGAAAAGTGGAGCATTACTAAAAATCTTATAACGCGCATTTTCACCCCATCTAAACATCTATGCAGGATCCAGCCACAGTGATGCACCAAGGCTCGGATCACCAGGAAGTTGCAGCCTTCTCTATGAAGGTATTGACTTAATGGGGTAAGCCCAGAATGGACACATTGATATTGTCTATAGCACCAGCACAGTTCAAAAAGTCCAATTGTTCCTCAATGAAACTGGGACTTCCATTGGCAGTTGCAGATGCACGACATTTCTGAAAGCCAGGCTACCAATTTACCATATATACTCGTTCATAAGCCAATTTTTTTTTAGCAAAAAAAGGGAAACACCAGAGAAGGGGGTTGGCTTATGAACGGGCATAGAGATGGACAGGTGGGACACAGTCCCTCCCCCCAACAGAGGGAGCAAGGAACATGCTGCGGCCGCACCACCCGGTCTGGCTCGCCGGAGCAGGCTGCGGCCGCGTCACCCAGCCTGCCGGAGCAGCTCCAGCCAGGTCAGAGACATCCTCCCCTGGCCCTCCCCAGATAAGGTGGGAAGGGATGGGATGGGGAGAGTGTGGGGGTCCCAGGGGTTACTCCCCTGACTCCCAGCTACTCCCCCCAAAAAATTTCCCCACCAGTTGCTGTCCCAGCCCATCAGGGTTAGCAGCTGGGGTGCCGGGACACTTTGTTTACTTAGGTTTACCTCCGTGCCTGCGGTCACTTGAGGTAAACAAACCATCTCGCTCCCCCAGCGGCTTATCCTGATGGCCTGGGAGCCAGTTTTCTGACCCTTGAATTATAGGGTCGGCTTATGAACGGGTTATAAAAATTTTCCATTTTTACTTATCCATCTTGGGGGGGGGGGGATCGGCTTATAAACGAACCAGCTTATGATCGAGTATATATGTTAAGTGCCCAATTTTTACATGTGTTTGACAAGGGGGGGGGGGGAGGGTAACGCGGTTCTCTTATTAAAATCCTATGTACATTTATATGCAAATTACACACAACTCTCTGGCTCTCAGCAGGTTGCCAGCAGGACCCAAGCATTACAAAAACTGAGTACCACTGCCCTAAACACTGAATGGTCGTACCAGTACAGGCTCACGACACGGTCCCTTAAAGGTTCCGTATGCTGAAAATTGAATCTGCTGTCATGCATTTTATTTTTTGGCCCAGAGCAACTCAAACGGATTAGATATCCTAACACTACAACTAGTATTCCCAAAAAACAGCATTAACCTGCTCTTCTTTAACTTGTATAAACGTAT